TTAGGGGTAGGCCACACTTGACTACTATGCCACTAACTCGTGACTGGAAAAGAATGCACCTTCGTGATGACTGCACTAGACGGAGGCAAAGGGCCCTGTCTCTTATACACATCTAGATGTGTATAAGAGACAGTACCAGTAGGCTGCAAAACGGTCGGCGGGTATGCAACCCTGGCCCTGGCGTTATTTTCAGGTCAAGATGGTATTCAGGTCACATATTCATGCTAGTCAAAAGAGTTTGTTTGCTTCTGATTGGAGTTTCTCCTGTGCAGTTTCCTTGCACAGTGTCTGATTATCGTTTCTCTGGGTATGTGCAATGTACTTCTTTTTTTGCTGGGTTTCACCCTGCAGGCATTCCTTTTAATCTTCTTCTCTGAGATCGGCGACAAAACATTTTTCATTGCAGTAAGTCCCATGTTCAATTTTTCAACACCCAAGTTTCAGATTTCAAATTTGAAAACAAAGCTGACAGTTCAATTATTATTATTCCTTTAAAACTGAAACTCCAAAGTTCAATTCACCTCTGAAAAAATCCAACCTCTAAGGTGTGCACACTGCACACCGCTCGTGGCTGATCGGTTCACAACTTCACACCTCACGTTGTTGATCAACAGGCCAAGAGTTCAAATTATCTTTTGTTTCCTTTCATTCTGTGATAACAGGATGGGTTAGCCAGGTACCCCCTTCTCACGGGAAAAGAAAGATGTTAAACCATCAAGTCATAAACCCTAAACCCCCTAAACCCTAAACCCTGACCTTCAGTGTACACGGCAGTAAGCTCTGTGGCCCACACCTAGCTCTCCATGTTCATGTCAACTGCAATGGACTGTTTGCCCTTGGGTATGACAGTTGGTTCAACAAACCTCTCAGGGGCTCCTGAACTGTTAACCGAGGAAAGCTTTGGCTCATGACATGGGGGTGGGAACACTGGGAAGGTAATTTGGATGAGGCAGTCCAGTGCTTCTGCTGCAACATATCTTTGCACTCTAAAAAGCGCCAACTTATGACTCATATGCAGCTCCAGCTCGTGTGCATAGAGAAGGATCTACTGCAACACTTGACACTGAAAAACTGGACATAGGTAAGAGGTTAGGTAGTGTGAGGTATATGAGTGAAGAATATAGCTTAGGTAAAAAAAAA